CAGACTTGAGAATTTGCAACCTAATGTTCTATTTTTCAGGAATTGATTTAGAAATAAAAATAGATTTGCATACAAAACTAAACCCATCAGAAAATGGGAGCAGATGACAAAAGAGCTATATTTATTTTTCTTTCTGATGATACACTTACATTAAGATGGAAGCCAAGCTGTCATCATTGATCCCTCTAAATGAAAAGATTCGGCTCTTTTAAAATTTTCCTAAAAACAAAATTAAAAACAAAAAACAAGCAGCAGCAGCCTCCCCACACGCAGGAGCCTCACAGGTCAAGTGCTGCTGGACGCTGAGCCCATACTCCCAAGGCCTCACAAGGCTCCCCAGGAGGCCCCCTCTTGTACAAAGGGATCAAGCTATTACAACCCTAGAACTTTTGATGTTCAGCACTAAAATTCATTTTAAGACATTTCAAAAGAGTCTTTTAAAAACTCTTCCTCCTGAGCTGCTGTCTCCCATGAGAGGAAACTTTATTAGCTGAATTACCACTTAAAATTACAAGTAATCAGTTTCCTATTCAAGGACTGCTGCTTAAAGTCCAGAATAAATCACCCCCACCCTGCTGTCCCCAGATTCATGCTCTGGCAGAGCCACTGCAGGCATGGACTCTCTTCCTCCAGAAAGATTCCAGTCGAAACAAGGAGCTTCTCCACCTCCTTCCTCCTCCATCCCAAGAGAACCATGGGCAGATGGCCTTGTGGAAATTATCTTTCTCTAAGAGCAAAGTCTCAACTGAGGGATGTGCCAACTTCCGAAAGTAAGTACTCCTCAGAGCCAAAGGCACTCCAGTTCCCCAGGTGAGTCATCAGAATGGCAGGGAGGAGTTCGTTCAATACCAAGCTGCCAAGCTGGCCTGAGGGCTGTGCCTATTCCGAACAGTGCTCAGGACGAGTTGGCTCAGGACAAGTTCTTAATTCTTAAAGGTAGCACTCCTACTACATCAATGAACTAACATTTGTGAAATTCAATAAAAACTTGAAATTTTACAAGGTATGTAAAATCAAACCCCCAACTTCTTCTGATTAGATCAGACACTGTCTAACTGCTCTTTAAGTTTCTAAGCCTTTCCTCTTCATTTCACCTTCTTATGTGGACAGTAGCACCCAGAGCGGCACTCCCCACCCAGACACGCCTGGACTCCATCCAGTTACTACCCGATTTGGAATCCTGCGTTTAACAGAGAAAAAGTCCCTAAGAATCAGCTAACTATCAAATTCATTTCCCTAGATCAAGAAGCTTTAAAAAAGATTTCCATAGTTAGGATCTAAAAGCTTGGTTTTTCAAATTCTAATTTCTAAGCAAGTAGAATTCACAACCAGGGGTGAAAAAGGAGCACACCACCAGGAGCTTCTTCAAAACAGCAGTCCTCCCACCTTCCACACCAACGCTGTGTGGCCTCTCAGTCAAGCCCCACCGCCCACGGTGAAGTTCCCTGGGAAAGAAACACCTCACAGATGCAGCTACTGCCATGGCCAAATGCCAGGACTCTCCCGGACACCTGGCCCTCAGGGCTTCCAGCAAACTCTGTAAATAAGTCTCTATTTTACTTCATGTGGAAGCTAATAAAAGCTGAGAGACACGGCCAGGTCTTAAAGAGAAGAACTTGCTGAGTGGGACCACAACTCACGTCTGTGTCCTGACAGTATGCTCATGTGGCCACCAGGAAATCATTCCAGTTTTTCAATTCAGTGTCAAACACTTCAGGACAGTCCAGGGAGGTAGACTATCACTGCTCAGCATGGGGCCTGGAGCTGAGACCGCCTGGGTGGGATCCCAGCTGTGCCACTGCTGGGCAAGGTGACCACGGGTAAGGTCCTGTCTTTAGTTTCCTTGTCTGTCAGGCAGAGCTGGTACCCTCCCCTCCTCGTGAAAGGCCAAAGGACGCTGACACACAGTGAACACAGTGTGTGCACGGGGCACCCTCACAGGCGCCGGTGCCATAGTGGTTACCCCCAAAGCGCACTCTTGCTGCTTCAAGACACCAACCTGAATCCTTCTCAGCTTCTCCCTCGTCACATTTCCAACCAGCTGAAGGTGCTGTCCACCCAATCCCAGCACACCAGAGCCATCCAATGCCCACTGCCACCTCCCTAGTCTGGCTAGGCTCCTTTCTCATCTGCCCCTTTAACAGTACATAACTGGATTGGCTACTACACGGGCCTCTTCCAGCCCACTGTCCACAGTAGCTCAAAAGGACTAGAGACCTTTCAGGTTGAACATAAGGTGCCAGGTGGTGGCACATTCAAAGAGGGCATGGAAGCTCCACATTCCCCCAGCCTGCCTTGCTTACACCACTCTTCCATGTGGCTCTTCCTAAGTTACATCCCTTGTAATAAACCAGTAACGTTAAGTTAATTGTCTTCCTGAGTCCCTTGAGCCTAGCAATTTATTAGGAGAGGATCATGGGAACCCCTGAGACTGGAAAGCTGGACGGCCTAGACTTGAGACTGGCATCTGAAGTTGGGACAGTCTTGTGAAACAAAGTCCTTAACTTGTGGGGCCTGATGCCAATTCCAGGTAGTTAGCCTCAAACTGAATTACACCATAGGATCCAGCTGTTGTCTGGAGAACTGGCCTTTGGTGTGAGAAACCCCACCCCACCCCACTCACAAACATCTTGTGTTACAAGTGTTGTGAATGGAAAGCAGATGGCCCACTCGGGTGCCCTGCATTGTTCACCCTGATCCTGGAGTCTTACCGTGGATTACAATGGGAACTTCACTCTCATGCCTCACCTGCTCTTAAGCTCGTCACAAATCCCTGCCAGTTCCCAATGCCAACAGGGTGCTCCACATGTGGCTTCACACAAAGGTGCACAGAATGAGTATCACCCAACATTTTTTATCTTATCAATCAGTCATGAACTTGGAAAAAATAAATCCAAGTGCTAGCAGAGTTATCAGAACATTCAGTCTTCGGGCTTCAAAGTCTTGAGAGCACTGACAGATGGAGGTGTCCAGCGGCAAATGTGCTGGGTACCAAGAAGGACAGGCCTTTGGCTGACCTCCTGCCTCTTCACTGAGTCTTTCTCCTGGCTGGCAGTCAACTGCCAGATGATACTGTGCACGCTGCTGCAGGTCAAGAACAACACAAGCAGGCAGGCAAGTCCAGTGCGAGCAGCCCTTCAACCAGCCCACTGGGAGCTGAATTCAAACAGGAATCAGACACTCTTATATGCAAGCTGCGAAATCTCTTCATTCATCCATACTGGGGATGAATGTTGCAACTCTCAACGATCTTGGACTGGCAACTAATTTTTAGATTTCCTCACAGTTGCAGGTTAAATTTTGTCCTCTAAAAGATATGATCACCCCTGTAGCAGTGAATGTAACCTTATTTAAAAACAGGGTCTTGCCAGGCACGGTGGCACATGCCTGTAATCCCAGAAGTTTAGGAGGCTGAGGCAGGAGGATCACGAGTTCAAAGCCAGCCTCAGCAAAAAGCAAGGTGCTAAGCAACTCAGTGACACCTTGTCTCCAAATAAAATACAACACAGGGCTGGGAATGTGGCTCAGAGGTCAAGTGTCCCTGTGTTCAATCTACCAAACAAACAAACAGAAAACAAAACAAAAACACCAGGTCTTGGCAATATAACGTGAGGCCATTTTGGATTAGGGTAGGCCCTAATTCAATGACTGTGTCCTTGTAAGAGGAAAGAAATTGGGACACAGACACAAAGAGATAAGGCCATGCAGAGTTGGAGGCAGAGACTAGAGTAATGCACCTGCAAGCCAAGTAACGCCAAGCCAACTCCTGGAAGCTAACAGAAGCAAGGAAGGATCTGATTGTTCCCTAGATGCTTTAGAGGGAGCACAGACCTGCTGATACCTTGATTCAAGATTTCCAGTCTCCCAAACTGTGATCCTGTGTCAGTTGTTTCAAGCAACCAGTTAGTTGCACTGTGTTACAGTAGCCTTAGGAAACTAGCATGCACTCAAAAATGCAAAGTTAACTGGCTCCTTCCCCGTGTACCTACTCTGAGTCAACACTGAATAAAAGATATATCACACATTCTTACAGAGCATTAATCCAGACTCTTCCGTTTTTATGTTTTTTGAATGCTTAGGGTTTTTTTTTTTTCCTTTGTAGCAATAACAAATCATATCCTAATCTCTAAATATGTTAATATTTTGTTTCCAATCAAGCCAAGTGCTTATTAATCTAGAGTAGGACACCATTCCCAACTGGAAGGCGAAGCCAAGATACTTTTCCATGTCTGAAAACTGACATTTCACATACTCAGCAAAAAGTTCAGCTGTGCGAGTACAATCAGGAATGGAAACCGGCCAGTCCTCCAGATGCTGAATGAAATCTGGTACTAATGCACACACACACCATTGTGTATGTTTGTACACACAATTCACACCCTGGATACCACTGGCTAGGGTACACAGACAACAGCTGCGATTTTAAACTCCAGAGCTACACTGCCACCTCCCAGCCAGTTCCTGTGAAGTATCACTCACTACATTCAACTCCTGGATGATCACTCACTTACAGTGAAGAAACACTGACACCCAGAGGCCTAGGTGGTCAATTTCCAGTTCCATCACTTTCTAATCTCATTGTTTTGATAACAAAAGCAAAAGGCATAGACAATATTAGTTTAGCCTTGAAGTAACCCCAGATCACTAAGATAGAGGGTCTTTGGAGTTTGAATGGCATTATTAACTGATTGCCATGAAAAAACCTAAGAAGATTTTATAAGTAAGTGCTTAAAAGCCCATATTTATCAGTTGTTCTCTTAAAATTTTTACACTGAAAGGCATGACAGACATTTCCAGTTTGGTAATAAATATCTGAAAAAAAAAAATTATTTTGAGAGAAAGGCCTTCCTTTGAGGTACTCTCAAACATTATCAAAGGTCAGGAGATATAGAAGTAGGTCAGGTGCAGCCGAGAACAGCACTGTTCAGAGTCCCAGGCCTGCTCCTCATGCTGGCAATGATGTACACTTCTAAACAGCTCAGAGAGTGTACTTGACCCACCTCTGCACAGACGGGGTGGATTCCAATCGTGCTGTCCAGCTGCCTCTTGGTCAGTCCACACTTGAGCGCAGCTGCGAAGCCCTGCGTGACTTCTCCAGCATTTGGGCCCAGTACATGAAAGCCCACAACACGTTCCTAAGATAAAAAAAATAATAATAAAGTAAAAAAAGCCTGCTAATTTTTATCCCCTTCCTTTCCTATCTGGCCTTGAATACTTCCCTGGTCTAGTCTAAAAACCCCATGTCAGAAATGGACACAGACTCATGCTGAAGTTGGGCACTACAAACTGATTAGGCACAAGACTCCCTCGTGTGGGCCGCCACGGGGAGCATGATGTGCACGTTGAGCAGGAGGAAGAGACAAGACGGCCTGACAAGGACCTGAGGAGGAGGATGGAAAACTAAAAAGCAAAGACATCTGCAGTTCCTGAACCACTGAACACTTACAGGATATTACACAGGCGGTGGGGACCCCATGTTCCCTATCTCAGTGTCACATAAACTATCTCTGGTAACCATGAGGCTCAAGAACAGTCACTTAAACTAAAAATAAAAAAATCATTTAAGGTTTTAAGAAGTAGAAAGAGCAATTAGATACTGTTAAGACCCTTCCTGTATGAAAATACTTTTGAAAGCAAAAGGAAAAGGTCTAGCAACTCTGAGCTACCTGTTTGGGAATTACTCTGGATAAATTCTAAATCCTAAACTCAGGCTACCTCTGCCAAGAGCAGAGAAACCTGGTGCATTCTACTGCTGTACTCAGTTTTTCAAGAGCCAACCCTGAATAAGCTAAACTACCTAGTCCCATTTCCTCACAACACTTGAGGCCATTCAACTGGGTGCAGAACTATTCAGCCAGTCTCTGGCAACAATCAGAAAGGTCACTTTAGTGCCAAAGTACTATGACACATTCTGTGTTGGACAATCAAGAGTTCAAAGTTGAATAAAGAAGATCTGTGTTGTGAGTTATTAAAAAAACTTAAAATACACTAGATTTACATGTAATAACATGGGAAGATTTCAAAAAATAAACATAAATTTAAAAAACAACGTGCAGGCAAAAATTGTAGCTCAGTGGTAGAGTCTTGTTTGGCACATGTGAAGCACTGGGTTCGATCCTCAGCACCACATAAAAATAAAATAAAGGCAATGTGTCCACATACAACTAAAAAACATAAAAAAAAAAAAAAACAAAAAACAATGCACCAGGTTGTATTTACTGAAGATAACATTCTAAAACCACAAAACACTGTGTGACATTTATAAAAACATAACATTATGAACGAACAAAAACAAAAAGGAGAGACCCTCTGACTTCAGAGCTGTGCCTCTGGGGGAGTTTTGAAAAGACTACAGGAGGAGGAGATGGCTTAAAAGGGACTCTACCTTGCCTGGAATTAAATTCCAACTCTGTTATTAATGAGATAAATACTTAAATTTTATGTGCTTCAGTTTCCTCTAGTAGAAAATGAAGGAAATAACAGCGCATACGCCATAGGATTATATAAGGATTAAAAAGCTAATACTTATTAAACATATTAATAAATTAATACCTATTAATGCAGATCTTTTAGTATCTGATACAGTTAAGTGTTCAATAAATCTACGATATTTATAAACAATACCTGTGATTATGGCAAATATGGCAAAAATGTTCAATGACTCTGAACTGTGGGCACTTTCCCTGTCTTTACATATATTTATACATATTCTATGTTAAAATACGTAAAAACTAGCAGATTTAAAAATCAAGGACATGGCATGAACATACTTTATATACAGAGATAAGAAAAATTGTGCTCTATGTGTAATAAGAATTGTAATACATTCAGTTGTCGTGTATTTAAAAAAATAATAAAATCAATAGAAAAAAGTGATACATTAAAAAAAAAAATCAAGGACATTTAGACACTAAAATCAGATGACTGACTCAAAATGAGTAAAGCATGCCCCAAGGACAGTCAGAAGTTCTAGAAGCATGCTTTTGCATCAGCTTGCTCATGACAGAAGAGCAACAACATAGATCTTCTTTGTTAGTATCTTTGTCCATGAAAATATTATGACCTCAATTGCTTTAGGTAAGGAAGGTTTATTGGCAGTGAAACTTATTTTTCATATTACACAAGCAAGCTACCAGAATAAATAACAATAGGGGGAAAAAACAACTGCACATAGTTAAAATGGATTTGCTTGGCATGAAGGAAACTTGATGTTGCTCCATGCAACTGAAGTCTCGCTCACCCAAGAGAGGTGACATTGCCAAGAAGAATACCTCATGCTTTTTTCATATCTTTTCTCTGCAGTAGAATGGATATCTAATGTATGCACACATAAACAAACTTTTAATAAAATGTCTAAAAAGAAAACTACATACAATCATTTTTATGCCAACGACATATTCATTATGGATTATTCTAGTATTCTTTTTTATTAAATGCCTCAATGATGACCTCTTTTGTAGAGAATCTAAGAAGTATCTCCTAAAACTCTAGGTTCTGCAAAAAAAATAAAGAAAGAATAAAAAATCTGCAATTGTGGGCTGGGGTTGTAGCTCAGCAGTAAAGCGCTTGCATAGCACAAGTGAGGCCCTGGGTTCGATCCTCAGCACCACATGAAAATAAGTAAATAAGATAAAGGTATTGTGTCCAACTACAACTAAAAAATAAATATTAAAAAAATCTGCAATTATGTCCCTGTCTGGAGCAGTAGTTTCTATATAAGACACATGGTTTAAATCTATTCAAAACTCAAGATTAAAAATAGAGGTTATTAGGCTTTTTAATGAATAGATTCCTTAGCATTATTTATATTTTTACTGAGGGCATTTTGTTTAAAGGCAATGTGCCAGGTAAGTTAAAATTATCCATTTTCTATGATTTAGTACAATACTTAAAAGAGTATGTGTATGAACATACATGTGTCCTGGTTTATCATGTAAAATACATTTCTTACTGTGTGGCAGCAGTCAAGAGTTTGAAGAACACTGATGCTTTCAGTCCCTCATTCTGTAAAGACACAAACTCTTCGAGGCCTGGGAGTATGCCAACAGGCTTAGCTACCAGAGGCTCCAGGCAGAGCTCGAATCGGACCTCAGTTAAGGGCTCTTCCCAAGGCAGGTTTCTCTGGTGCCAGCTGCTGGGGCTCAAATCTGCATCATTTCTATTCTTTTTTGTTCATTATTTCTAGATAGTCAGTGACTTCATTGCTACTCACTTATAAACACAAACACAGAAGCTGTTCCTTGGGCTCCTTCCTGCCCTGAACTGATTGCCTGCTACTTATGTATAGGGCCCTGCACTGGTGCAGGCAGTGGAGCCAAGGCCTCTGCCAATGGAGGGTGAGCACACAGCTGGGGGACTGCAGGTGAGACACTAGAGTAGTGCCCTACACAGCATGTGGTCAAAATCAAGCACAGCAACTTTAAAAGTAAAAGCAACTTTTTCATAGCTGCTCTTCTGCATCTCCTGCTGAGAGTGCAAACTGAGAACCCCCTGACTTGGGCCAGGTGACAGGGAAATGAATTGTAACATCCTGGGTTAGCACAGCCTAGTTAAGTCTACACATGTACAGTTCCTGCCTGTTGTCTCAGTGTATCACCTTCCCCTCTTATAAAACCTGTTTCTCTGAGCTCCACAAAGATAGAAACTTAAGACAAAAAGGTCTCCTCTATCTTCCTCAAGCTTTGAATAAACTTGTTTTTCTTCATCAACCTTTGTCTCCTGAATTTTAGAGGTGCCAAGCAGTAAAATCTCAGGTTCTCAGTAATAAAAATAGAGCTATATGGGCTGGTGTTGTGGCTCAGTGATAGAACTCTCACTTAGCATGTTTGAGGCACTGGGTTCAATCCTCAGCACCAGATAAGAATAGTTATTGTGTCCATTTACAACTAAAATATATATACAGACTTAAAAAATTCAACCATATATTAAAAGCTAAATGAGATTATTAGAAGGATTCAGAATTGTACTTACATTGTCTTTCAGATTACAGACTATTTTTGCATAACATTTGTTGTTATCTCTTGATGGAACTGTCCATTCCAGTGGCCAAAAGAAACTATGGTAAACCTAAAAGGATATAGGCACAATTTAAACTTTCTTAAGTAGCAAGTTTGCAGACTTCAGATCTGGTGAAAGAAAAAGCTCTTTAATAATTAAGAGTTTAATTAAATGATAAAATCCATGAATTCACAGGAGATGGTATAAAGGCAAATGACTTGACACACCCTACTCAGGGATTTTTTGAAATAAATTCATCCCTTAATAATAATCCAACCTCAAAGTAAACCTTAAGTAATAGTAACAAAGAAAAATAGGAAAGGATGGGCTGGCGTTGTGGCTCAGTGGTAGAGTGCTTGCCTATCATGTGCAAGGCACTGGGTTCGATCCCCAGTACCACCAAAAAAAAACTAAATAAACAAAATAAATTAAACTAAAAACAAAAATAAAGAAAATAGGAAATGAAAGAAGTCATGTAACTACTGTCCTATATTAAAAACTAACCAATATACCTGATTAAAATCAATCAATTAATTAATTTTTAAAAAACTAACTCAAAAAACTCAACATCGTTTGTTTACCTCATAAGAATGACAACTTTGGACAAGAAACAAATAAGGAGCCAGAAATAATCATCACAATCATCTAGATCCCATGTTTATATTTCCAAAAGACATTTCCTCTTATGGCATTATCACTAACAGCACCTGAGGGTGCAGGGAGGGTAGACATACTTGCTGAGATTAACTCACAGATAACTCAAAGATAGATTTTTCTCCTGCAACTGTTAGGGCCTCAGTTCAAAACACAGTTAGTGATCCTTGTAAAAGCACATTGGTTATGATGACATGATTAATTTTTTTAAATAAATGTAGGTTGCAAAATTAAATGTACAGTATCGCAACAATTATGAAGGGAAAAGATTAAGAACATTACCCCAAACTGCTAACAATTGCTATGTTACAGACAATCTATGACAAATTTCCTATTTTCCTTATATTTTTCAAAATTTCAACTCAAACATCTTACTTTTGACACAAAAATATTTGTTTTTCTTCATAAAAGTCTATGAAGAAATAAAAATATTTATTAAGAACCTCAAAATTTAAATATCTTTGATAGGTAATCTATCCTTAAAAAAAAAAGAACAATAAACAATGAATTATAAAGATATTCATTAATCTATAGTTGTGAAAAACTATAAACAATCTAAACAAAAGGGACTTAACGAATTAAAGTATGACATCCCTTAAAAATTCAAATTATTACACATTTCTAAAAATGGTGTTTTTAGAAAATTGAAGGACAGACAAAAATGTCCATGACATATATTATTATTAATATATTACAGAAAACAGTTAATCATACTTTGAAAAACTTAACATGCGCCCACCCACACAAAATTAATACATACATATACACACATACATGCAATAGAGGATGAGCATCCCTAATCTTCATCTAAAATCTGAAATGCTCTAAAATCGGAGGATGTGAGTGCTGATAGGATGCCCAAGAGGAAAATATTCCACACCTTCAAACTATGTGTATAAATTGAAACAAGTGGATTTCATATTTCTTGGGTCCAATCCCAGCCACATCTTATTATATATGTGCAAGAGAAAAAAAAAAAATCTGATCCCAACCATTTCAGATTAGGGATATTCAATCTGTATAAATATTTATAGTCTAGATGGAAATATGCAAAAATATTAATAGCAGTCATTTCTTCATGAATTAAAATATAGTCTTTTTGCTGTTTCAAACTTTCTATAAATGAAGTTATACTATTTTTAAAATCAGAAAAAAATGTTAATAATGTGTTCCTAATAAACCAAGATATTACATGCTACTATCCATGCATAAAATAAAGGATTGTCAGTAGTTAAAAGAAGCTTTTATGGGCTGGAGTTGTGGCTCAGTGGTAGAGTGCTTGCCTAGCATGTGTGGGGCACTAGGTTCAATTCTCAGCACCACATTATATTCATAAATGAATAAAATAAAGATCCATCAACATCTTTAAAAGTATTTAAGAAAAAAAAAAAAGGGTTTTATATCATAAGGTTGACTTTTATTCCCAAATCTGTTCTTTTAGAATGTTTTACTGGAAAGATTTTCCCCTGTGATTTAAATGCATGCTGCAGTCCTTTTAAGTAGTATTATTTGTGTATATTAAAAAGTCATATACAGGGACTGGGGTTGTGGCTCAGTAGTAAAGCCCTTGTCTGGCATGTGTGAGGCCCTGGGTTCGATCCTCAGCACCACATATAACCAAACAAATAAAGTGAAAAATCCATTGGCAACTAAAAAAATATTTTTAAAAAAGTTATATTTCATATACAATGTCTTTACTACATGATAAAAGGTGAGTGGTGAAATTAATATAGATCAGACAGTAATGCTAAAATAGCAATCATTACATAGGTCAAAGCAAGAAAACGTTTTTTTTGTTTTCACTTTGCTGTATTTCTCATATTTCAATAATTAAAAATAAATAAATGTGGTTCACCCTTGTTCATTACAAATACACTGAAATATCAAAGGATAAAAAGTAGCATTCAATTTACTCCAAAATGGCTCAGAGGAAATAATACATATACACAAAGAGCAAGAGAATATGAAAGTTTATAAAATAAATGAACAAAATGTAATAATAATTGAGTCTAGACAATAGCTATAAGGAAGTTCTTGGCATTATTTTTAAACTTTTGTGTATACTTGAAATTACTTTAAAATTTTGATGAAAAAAAGTAGTATAGCTTAGTCCAAGATGAAGAAAAAAAGAAGAGCTTACCTCAATATTCTCCTCCCCAAATTTCTCTACAGCCTTCTCTTCTGAAAGGCCGCAAGCACCATATTCCAAAGGAGTAAATACGGTTGTTGGAACATTTTCATAGTCACACTGTTTCAAAACGAGGGAAGAGAATTATGATAGGCAAATCCTAAAACAGGTATTCTTAAAAATGATTCAAAAGTACACTTCCAAACTCATTCTATGAGGCCAATAACACCCTGATTCCAAAACCAGACAAAGACACATCAAAGAAAACTTCAGACCAATGTCTCTAATAAACATAGATACAAAAATCCTCAATAAAATTCTGGCAAATCAAACACAAAATCATATCAAAAAGATAGTGCACCATGGTCAAGTGGGATTCATCCCAGGAATGCAAGGTTGGATCAACATATGGAAATCTATAAATGTAATTCATCACATCAACAGACTTAAAAATAAGAATCATATGATCATCTCAAAGATGCAGAAAAAGCATTTGACAAATACAGCACCCCTTCATGTTCAAAACACTAGAAAAACTAGGGATAACAGGAACATACCTCAACAGTATAAAAGCTATCTATGCTAAGCCCCAGGCCAACATTATTCTAAATGAAGAAAACCTGAAAGCATTCCTTCTAAAAAATGGAATAAGACAGGGATGCCCTCTTTCATCACTCCTATTTAACACAGTTCTTGAAACTCTAGCCAGAGCAATTAGACAAAATAAATTAAAGGGATACAGATAGGAAAAAGAATTCAAATTATCACTATTTGCCGATGATATGATTGTATACCTAGAAGACCCAAAAAATTCCACCAGAAAACAACTAGAATAAATGAATTCAGCCAAGTAGCAGGATATAAAATCAACACCCATAAACCAAAAGCATTTCTGTACATCAGTGACAAATCCTCTGAAAGAGAAACTAGGAAAACTACTCATTTTACAATAGTCACAAAAAAAATAAACAAAATACCTGGGAATCAATTTAACGAAAGAGGTGAAAGACCTCTACAATGAAAATTACAAAATGCTAAAGAGGACTCGGGATGTGGCTCAAGTGGTAGCGTGCTTGCCTGGCATGCATAAGGCACTGGGTTCGATCCTCAGCACCACATAAAGGAAAATAAAGATATTGTGTCACATAAAAAACTAAAAAATAAATATTTTTTAAAAATGCTAAAGAAAGAAATTAAAGAAGACCTTAGAAGATGGAAAGATCTACCTTGTTCCTGGATAGGCAGAATAAATATTTTCAAAATGACCATACTACCAAAAGCACTATATAGATTTAATGCAATTCCAATCAAAATCCCAATGACATTCCTCATGGAAATAGAAAAAGCAGTCATGAAATTCATCTGGAAAAATAAGAGACCCAGAATAACTAAAGCAATCCTTAGCAGGAAGGGTGAAGTAGGTGGCATCACTATACCAGACCTTAAACTATACTACAGAGCAATAGTAACAAAAACAGCATGATATTGGCACCAAAACAGACTTGTAGACCAATGGTGCAAAATAGAGAACACAGAGACCAACCCACATAATTACAGTTATTTTATATTAGACAAAGGTGCCAAAAACATATATTAAAGAAAAGATAGCCTCTTCAACAAATGGTGCTAGGAAAACTGGAAATCCATACACACAAAATGAAATTAAACCCCTATCTCTCACTGTGGACAAAACTCAACTCATAGTGGATCAAGGACCTAGGAATTAAAGCAGAGACCCTGTGCCTAACAGAAGATAAAGTAGGATAAAATGGATAATGGATAGAATCCATTTTGTCACATTAGGCCTGACTTCCTTAAAAAGACTCCTATAGCATTAAGAAATAAAATCAAGAATCAATAAATGGGATGGATTCAAACTAAAAAGCTTCTTCTCACCAAAAGACAAAGTGAGATAAATAGAGTGAGGTGAATAAAGAGGTGAATAGAGAGCTTACGGTGAGGTGAACAGAGAGCCTACAGGATGGGAGCAAATTTTTACCACATGAACACCAGATAGAGCACTAATCTCTGGGATATATAAAGCACTCAAAATCTTAACACCCACCCCCCCCAAAAATCAATAAATGGGCCAAAGAACTGAACAGATATGACAAAATGTTCAACATCACCAGCAATTAGAGAAATGCAAATCAGAATGCAAATGCAAATCCAGTCAGAATGGCAGCTATCAAGAATACAAACAACAATAAGTGTTGGTAGGATGTGGGGGAAAAGACACACTCATACATTGCTGGTGGGACTGCAAATTGCAGCCAATCTGGAAAGCAGTATAGAGACTCCTTGGAAAACTTGGAATGGAACCACCATTTGACCTATCTATCCCATTCCTCGGTTTCGGCTTATACCCAAAGGACTTTTAAAAAGCGTATTACAGGGACACAGCCATATCAATGTATAAGAGCAACACAATTCACAATAGCAAAATTGTGAAACCAACCTAGATGCCCTTCAGTAGGTGAATGGATAAAGGAAATGTGGCATATATACACAATGAAATATTACTCAGCATTAAAAGAGAATAAAATCATGGCATTTGCAGGTAAATGGAGTTGAAGAATATTATGCTAAGTGAAGTAAGCCAATCCCAAAAAAACAAATGCCAAATGTTTTCTCTAATATGAGGATGCTGATCCATAATGGGGATTGGGGTGGGGAACATGGGAGGAATGGAGGAACTTTAGATAGGGCAAAGGGGAGATAGGGGAAGGGAGGGGGTCTAGGGGTAAGGAAGATGGTGGAATGAGATGAACATCAATACCCTAAGTACATGTATGATGACACAAATAGTGTGACTCTACTTTGTGTACAACCAGAGACAGGAAAAGTCGTGCTCTATATGTGTAATATGAATCGAGGATGCATTCTGCTGTCATATATAACAAATTAGAAAAATTTTTAAAATGGTTCAAAAGAGGGAAAGGAAAGCAGAAATAAATTTCTATCAAAAGCATGTGAAATCCCAATCCCAGACACTAACTACACTGAGAATCACCCACTCATGTGAAAAGCCTTTGTAGAGGCTTGAAGTCAGGCAAGAATGATTATAAAGAAAAGATCAGCATATTGTGGCAGCTACCAACTGATGTTACCTTCAATTACCACTTTCTCTCCTCTAAATAAAGTAGCAAAAAACAATATATAGGAAATTATCAGACCTGATAATCTTAGAGTCAAAAATTAACAGAATTCTTTGAAATCAATTAGGTAATACATATAGGAGTCATAAAAGTATTTTACACCTTTGGATCAATAATCCTACTTTTAAAAAATTTATAAGATTATGTTATTACAATAACATGCTACTATAATTATAATGGCATGATAATTTCATACATAGAAAAGGCTACATATACTGATTTGAGTTTTGCTGCAGTCCTCTTCAACAGTGGCAATATCAAAAGTGGCTTTAAAATAACCCCCAAGAATTAGAATGTAACACGTACATACTGTCAGTGTACTATTATGGAGCCACTAAAATGGGAATGAAGACCACCAGAAGACAATAAGCCTAAGCAACATTCTACATTTAAAATGTGAAAAATGCAATTCTCATTCTCTAAAATAGAGTGTAAAATCTTTAAAATATGCCAGAAACAATAAATATAATTCTTATTCTCTAAAAAGACCATAAACATCCTTGGATTTCTCTAATACAAAAGGCAGATATCCACTTCAAGTTATTGGTATGCCATGAGCCAGAGCTACCCTCCTACATTAAATAAGAACAAACCAGACAAAAATGGACACTGGACAGGCAGCAGCACCTGTGGCCCTCAAGAGAAGGGAAACAGAAGGAGGTGGGCCCTCTGCTGGCTTGGGGTTACTGCCCAGAGGGACTCCTGGACCTCCATGCCGTGAGGGGAAACTTGAAGAGCCTGGCAGTCTTTCCCAGTTAGAGACAGTGATGACAGCTCAGGGCAGCCAGGGTGGCTTGCAGCTACAAGGCAGACTACCAAAGAGGAGGAGGTTTCTCAAAGAGAGTTCTCAGACCTCCAGAGATTCACTTGAGACTACCAACAAGATGTAGAAGGACTATCCACAAGGAAATAAAAATATCCAGATTTTAAGAAATTCTGTGCCATATGATTTCAAATTTAGTGCAATCTTTTTCATGTTCACCCTTTGGTTATTGCTGTTATATAAAAATATTTCTTTTTTACTTCAGGAATCTGCAAGATATAAATTAAAAAACCAAATACATCTCAAGCTATATTTCTGAATGCCCTTTCTTGACTTACCAGATACTCATTAACTCCGATAATGAATGTAAGATTTAACTCAAAGAGGTGATCTTGTTATCTTTGTTCCAATAGGAATAAGAACCCTATCTAGCCACTCTGACAGAACCTTTCTACCCCTAATCTCATCATTTCAAATTATCAGATTTTATTATGCTACAAATCCAGAATAACTCCAGGCCACAAATAAACTTTACTAGCATCATTCAATGAGATTTCCATTACTGTAGCCAACCCATGATGATTTATATTCAAGGAAAATGGGTAGTAACTAAATTCTTCACAATTCATTTTCCCAGAATTCCTTTTAAAAAAATAATTAGGGTATATTATTCTTTCTGGCCATCTGGTTCTATACTACAAAAGGAAGCATTCAATTTTCTACTGTGACTTTAAACAAAATCACTCTAAAGCATTAACATTAGCATAAAACATATTTAGTATCCTAAGAACAAAAGACATTTTCTTTGAAAGGACTGGGGAACAAAGTCTGAACAGTAGTTTAAACAACTCTGCACACTGAAACTTTTGCCTAAATCCCCAAATCCTTTTATAGCTTAGATAGGTACAAAAAAAGACTTAGAAAACTATACTTTCAGTGGTAATAATGAAACTGATGGAAATGCAACTATTATAAGTATATGAAACAAACTAGCTCCTCTTTATTCTAAGTGTGATTCCAAAAGTGACAATTTTCATAATAAAGTCACAAATGTATAGCAGACCTACCAATGTACCATTTGGAATACACTTAATAAAGCAGATCTAGAATGTCATTACCAAAGTACTAAATTACTCAAACCTGGTACATTTCCCAACTGCACCACTAAACGGGACAGAGAGGATTATTAAAAAGAGTGTCTCAGTGGACGACAGCACTTGCCTTGACAGTGGAGCCAGCATAAAGCCTCTGGGCCAGCAATCTTCCTGCCTGGATGGCCACTGGGGTAAGTTCCAGCTTTCCCTCCAATATATCACCAATGGCATAGATGTAAGGCACATTGGTCTGTTCTTCATCCGTAACAGGTATTTTGCCAGATCTGTAAATTCGTTTAGTTAGAAATTACCGTCCATTACCAATATCAACTAAATAGAACTAAATCCCCTTTCTCCCCATGAAGCCCAAAACTGACTCTGAAAACGATGTTCTAGTGTATTATTAAAAAGCTTAGAGGAACCAAAACGATTAGTGACAATCCTGTCCACTATTGTGAAAATCAAAGAAATAAGAAAACTATAGGAAACCTCTGTCCAGGCACACTACATTGTGTATACCTATAGACCCAGCTACTTGGGAGGCTGAGGCACAAGGATCACAAGTTCAATGCCAGCCAGGCAACTTAGCAAGACCCTTTATCAAAATAAAATTATTATAAGGAGGCTACAGATGTAGCTCAGAGGTAGAGTGCTGGGTTTGAGCCTATTAGTATGGCCAAAAAAAGAAACCTTACAGAGACAATTCTAAATTAAAATAACCAACAAAACAAAATAAATGCAGGAAACACTAATATGAGTGGCACTGAAGAGTGTTCTATTTTCTAAACCAAAAAAGGGAACTCTCCAACTATGTTAAAAATAACTTTAAAATACTCTACAATTGATCAATGTTATGAATAAGTGAAATAGCATTGAATGACAATGTTTTTTCTTACTTTTCATTTATCTTCACCCCCACAGTTTCTAAGCCAATATTTCTTGTACAAGAATCTCTTCCTATTGCCAGCAGTACCTGAAAAATTAATACACTTTTTAAAAACCTTTGCATGAATTTTTCAGATTATTAAGCTAATATAGTTTCATTTCCCACTTAGTAATAAATACTTAACAATACAAGTTAAAACAAATTAAAACCCTCAATTAAAAAAAAAACCTCTCCAACATGATATAGCAAAAATAGCTCTTCGTTTCTTATTAATAATGAGAAAGAATTAATGCCTTAATAAACTCAGCCAAGTTAACAGACAAACATAACACACTCTACGACTGATTAAGTTATTTTCCAAGTGGCAGGTTGGGAGGTAAAAGGGACAGAGAAATTCTAACTCATTCAAAAACATCTGATACCTTTTTTAGCCGTTTGATAAAACAATATTTTAAGTTAGTTACAGTAGAGAAAATATGAAGCCACCCTTTGTCAAAACAAATTATAATATCAGAATACTGAAGATATCTTAGAAGGGGCATCAGAATAAGTAATTTTAGAAGTCACTGTAAGTACACAACAGAGAACCAAGAAGCATGTTACTTGCTTTCTTTTGGAATAGCGCCCTGGGCATCTCCTTACCGTGTTATACTCTCCTTCAATGATTTCCTCACTATTGGTGGACTGAGCTGTCACCCTGAGTCGGCCTGGTGTCCCTGCTTCAATTTGTTCAATCTGCAAAAGTGATGAAGTTTTGATAGACATTTATTAAGGAAAATAATTGTCTTCCCTGTTAATCTGGCTAACCCAAAGTTGAAATATAAAATCTGGCTTAAAAAGCATCTTATATCCCAATTACCTCACCTTCACATCACTAGGATGATATGAGATTCTTTTATTTAGCCCCTTCTTTGTCACAGCTTAACACTGCTTCTTAGAGAGGCTGTTTTCAAATAGTAAAGTTCAGAGGGAAAAACAGGTTTTTTTTAAAAAAAAAAGCCAGAGAATGTAGAGGCCAGTCCCTAAAAATCAGACCAATATCTCCACTGCTTTTCCCATTTCCTGTCTCATGATTCACCCAGAAGCTTTCACCACGGGAAAGTCACTACTGCTCAAATCCAGAGATTCCCTTCTGACTTCAGGTCACTGACAACAAAGAACAGGTACTGAAGTGATCATTAATAATCTAGTTTCATTTGACAGCTAGCAAGCTGTAAAACCAGAGTGGCAAAGAGATGTATGTGTTTCAATGGCTGTTAAGGAGGCAGAAAGGAATACATCTGTGCTACAGCAAGAGAATGAACATACCAACTTATCACAGGAAGGTGCCAAGGCTAATCCATTCTGGGTAACAATGACATAGCGGCACTGCCACCTGGAAACTTCCTCAAGTCTGTAGTTAACCTACTGTCTCTGAGTAACAGCCAATCATGGGCTTTTATAAAATATTTCCTGGAAGAAAACAATAAAACCACCTGCAATTTCTGCCCTACCTTTAAAATATAATCACTCTGTTTGGGAACATTCTTCAGGGTCATTTTACTTTTGACATCAATAACAGTAAAGATTCTCTTCTTGAATTCTCTTCCCTTCTTATATAGTTAAATCTCTTTTGAGTGCACTGGAAGTCTCTCCTGTTTAAACTAAAATTTCTCATCTTTGGAGAGGAATTCAATTGGTTCATATCTTATATTTGTTTCAAAATGGTAGGTAAAGAGCCTCATCCTATCGTTGCCCTTATTCACTTTGTACTCTAGCCAGGCTTTCTCTGTATCTAGACCAATTTTCCTCCCCAGAGCCTTTCTGTATACATTATAACCTCTGACCAAAATGTCCTGTTCTCCCACCTCTTCACAAAAGGCTCCTTCCACTCAGCACTTTACAGTACAGCAATAATTCACTACCCAAGCACTTTGATAATACTATTTAAGGAGGCACAGTCCACCAGGTTTTCAAAAGGATCCACAAACTCTCCAAATTTTAAGAGATTACACAGGAAGATTAACTTTTCTACCAGCAAAACCCACACATTCAGTTGTTTCTTACTCACAGCCTTAATGAAAATGTAGCCATCTACTTCCTAGAAACAGCAGACTTGCGATCCCCACAACAGTACTATGAAATGGATTCCCTTAGACTTCTTTTAATGCCAGGTACTGTTCCAATGGCTTAAAAGTTAGCTAATGTAATCCTCACCCAGAACTCAGAGATAATCATTATCTTTCTCACTTTACAAAAGAAACCGAGGCTCACAGACATTAAATGAACGAGTCATGTGGAAACTGACAAGATTTGAATACGGGTCATTCTTATCCCAAAGCTCATACTTTTACCCATCAGCAAAGAGACCCATGGCCATACAAAGAACTCAAGTCAAGTCACTGAAAGAGGAAACAAATAGCTAAAATTTCTAAACTTGACCACAATAGTCTATCCTGCACTAAAGGAAAGTATCACTAACTTATCAATTTTGTCACTCTCATATATCAAAACATTGTGGTAATGTTAACAAGGTCTCAGGTATAATTTGGCATATTTTAGGCCTTTGGAAATAAAGATCAAATGACCAAAAAAGAGCCCATAAAATGAAATGAAGTTAACTGTTTCCTGGAAAGCCAGAGTGACATAGTACATAATTTAATATATCACATACCCAGGGAAAATGTCTCACAAAGAAAAACAAAGTCAGACTACCCTTGAACCCTTATTTTTAAATCTCTAGTACATATGATGAAATAAAATACAGCAGACCAACATTATAAAAGAATGCAAAAACGGAAAGTTTTAATCAAGAAAGTACCAAAAGAGTAAGTTGACAAAGGCAGGTATTATTAATCTGTAAATAAGAGCAGAGTTATTTAAGCAGTGGGCAGGTACAAGCTTATTTCAATATATAAAAGGTGAGGAATCAGGACTTCCGATGATTTATAATGCCCAAACGATGTTTCCACTACCCAACCCTAACCCTCTGTTTGCCTTTCATCATGAGTACAAAATCAGTAAACCCATAGTCAACCCCACTTACTTTAATTGGTACAAACTGCTTTATAAACTTGATACCATGTTCTTCCATGTGTTCACCAATTTTATTGGCCATGTCCTGGTCAAATCCTCTCAGGAGAATGGACCGCACCATAACAGTGACATCCAAACCAATACCAGCAAGAAATCCAGCACATTCCAAAGCGACATAGGATGCTCCAACCACCAGGGTCTTACCCGGGCAGTAAGGTAAGGAAAATAGATCATCACTGAAAAGAATTTAAAGGGATAGGGAAAGAAGAAAGAAAATATAGAAAAAGGTTCATATATGAATAGTGACTAAACCAAATAAGAACAAGAAATTATTAATATTATAAACATTCAATTAGCTACACATGAGAAGTTTTTATAAAATTTTAAGATATTCTCCCTTTCTTGCTAGTTTCTTTCAGAGTAGCTCAAGCCCAGTTGCTAAACAGAGCAAACCATTTACTTCCTGACAACATTCCAACCTACACCCACATGATTTAACTGCGTGAAACACATAATACAGTTGCAAACCCAAACCCCACCTTCAGCTTCTGTCAAAGGTAAAAAGCCTATGTTATTTCTCTCTTGGAATATCGATTATTAAGAGCAGAGAAAACAGGGTGTGGTGGCACAAGCCTGTAATCCCAGCTGCTAAGGATGCTGAAGCAAGAGGATCGTGAGTTCAAAACCAGCCACAGCAAAAGCGAGGCCCTAAGCAATTCAGTGAGACCCCATCTCTAAATAAAATATAAAACAGGGCTGGGGATGTGGCTCAGTGGCTGAGTGCCCCTGAGTTCAATCCCTGGTACAAAAAAAAAATAAGTGAAGAAAAAGGTGAGAAAATTTTTCAAAATCTTGTTTTTATAATATTAAAATAAGTATAAATATGAGTAAAACATGATGAAAATCTTACAGTTAAGAGAATACATAAGTCATATAAGATATCATTAAAGCATTGTTAAAAATGAGTTTTTAACCAGGCGCATTAGTGCACACCTGTAATCCCAGCAGCTCGGGAAACAGAGGCAGGAGGACAGAAAGTTCAAAGCCAGCCTCATCAACTTAGCAAGGCCCCAAGCAACTCAGTGAGAATAAGAAAAAGGGCTGGGCATGTGGCTCAGTGGCTAAGGCCCCTGGGTTCAATTCCTGGTACCAAAAAAAAAAAAAAAAAAAGTTTTTAAAATATGAAAATCAGCAGTAGAATGACAGACTTCATTACCCCATATACCTGTGTGATTGTGTTACTGGTGTGACTCAGCACCATGTACAGCCACAGGAATGAGAAGGTGTGCTCCATTTGTGTACAATGTGTCAAAATGCATTCTACTGTCATGTAAAACTAATTAGAACAAATTAAAAATATATATAAAAAGCAAGTTGGGCAAGTAGCATGGGCCTATAATCCAGGTACTCAGGAGCCTGAGGGAAAAGGATCACATGAACCCCGGGAGTTTGAGACCAGCCTGGGCAACATAGTGAGACCATGTCAAAAAAGACAGGAAAGGAGGGAGGAAAGAAGGAGGAAGAGGAATGCTGGAGGGAAGTGGAGGGAAGAGTAGGGTAGGGTATCTGTTGAGACTAACGTTTGTGCCCATTCCCCCCACCAAAATTCACATGTTGAAGTCCTAGCCCCCAAGAGAAGATGGTGCTAAGAGGTGGAGTCCTTCATAGGTGATCAGGTCATGAAGGCGGAGCTCTAGTGTCTTGATGAAAGACAGAGAGCTGCCTGTGCAGCTTCTACCAGGTAAGAACACAGAAAGAAGATGCCATCTACAAACAAAGCAACAGACCCTCAGCAGACACGGAATCTGCCCACACCTTGATCACCTGACCTTGGTCTTCCCAACCTCCAGAACTATGAGAAATGAATTTCTGGTATTTCAGCTACCCAGATTAAGTTAGTTGTTACAGCAGCCCAAGCAGACTATGACAGCACTTCCAAGACAGGCACGACAACATGTGCCACCTGGGCTGCTCTGGATGAGGCAGAGATAATTTCAAACACAAACAAGTATGTATCTATATACAAGTATGTTAGCAGTGATGTTAATATTGACTTTAAATGGCAGAATGACCAATGCTTGTAGTTTTCAATTTTAAAAACATTTGTATTTAACCTTACCTGCTGATGCAGTACTCCTTGTCCCCGGGGATGCCCAAGTAACGTGGCCTTTCACCAGTGGCAATGAGAAATCGCTCTGCTGAATAAAATTTTTCTTTGCCTTTGTTATTTGTTGCCTACAAAAGAACCCAATACATCAACTCTAATAAGTAATGAGTTCTTAAAATTAACTTAAAAGTTAACAAAGACTTGTTCTTCAGTGTTTCATTTGAGCCACATAAAAATTTGATGATTCATTAAGAAAGAGATATTAAGGTCACAATGCTAGCAAATGATAGAGCCAAGCCTGAAATCCAGGTAATCTGGCCCAGTATGCTGACACTCCACCACACCCCCACAGACGTCAAAATCACCAAACTGGACAGTCTGGGTCACAGTGACTTGCACTTTTATTATAATACTTTTAATATTATAACTCTTTTTCTCCCCAGCACCAACCAAAGCTTAAAAAAAAAAAAAAAAAGTTACAGAGGATGCTGCTTTTACAATTACCTTAATCCTATGAGGTCCGATAAATTGCCCAAAAGCGTTCTCATAGACCACCTTTTTCTCCCGTAGAGCTACACGGTAGCCCCAGTTCAGAGAGCCAATGTGATTCTGTACAGCTTCTGTCATTTTTTCCCAGTCATGTTTAACTGTGTAAGAAAGTAAGACATTTAGCTTTTCAACTGCCCAACAAACATATGAGTTTCTCAGTAACTACAAACATGGAAAAAAGAGAGTAGAGCTTGTAGTCTACAAGAAGAGGTTCTTCATTTTGAGCACATGAGCTACCTTTTCATTTTCAATATTCTTTCCCTTTTAGAAGACCACCATACATTTAATATAATTAATGCAAGACTTCCTGCCAAGAGGACTATGTGCTTGGGGTGGAGGATGCTGCAGGGAACCTGGACCAGCCAGCCTGCCTGCCTGTCAACCAGGAATGGACAATAGCATACCGCACCCCATCTAACTGCAACAATTACCAAACTCTTTTTATGTTCCTCTTTCTTTCTTCTTAACTAGAGTACTGTATCCAAAGTTAATCCCAGACATATACCATTGGTGGTCACAGTGATTGAGGGATGCCCCTAACATTTAATGCCCAGCCAGCCAGTGATGCTAACTATTTTTCTTCATCTACCACAGAGCTGTCCAGCCCAAAGTGCCAGTAATATCACTACCACAGAGAAACAATAAGCTAGGTCAAAGGGAAAAATCATGTCTGAAATTTTATAAGTATAAAACTACTAAGTGGATTGTACTCTGCTAATCCTATAGGAAAGACCATATTCTAAAATAAGACATAGTTAGAATTAGGTAATAGCACCAATAAATTTCATGATTTCAATGACCAAAATTCAAATTCAATGATTAGACTCAACACTTCTATTAAAGCCTTCCTTTTGTGGCTTAGGCCCAGTCTGATTTCCAAACTCCTCAAATCTCTTTTCCCTACAGAGGTTCCTTCACCTTGTGGCACAGCAGATAGCCACCCTTAGCCTCAGTGTCTAGTATGATTGTACTCAAACAGAAGGAATTTCAAAAAGTTTGGGCTACCAGTTTTGGATTCAGCATTAAAGCACTTGATCTGCTCCTATGGTCTTGGTCTTGTGGTCCCTTCTGAGTGTCTTGTAACGTTCAGATTCCCACCTTATATGCTACTAGTGGTAACTGGACTCTGGGACATACATGGAACTCCAGTTTGCTAGGGTGCCCTGCCTTCTGATAATACCCCAAACCTACCACCTATCAGTGTTCCCAAACACTACCAGGACCCTACACACCCACACTCTGTCCACCTACTGGCATAGCCTCAGCATCTCTCCTAGGCCTCCTGATACCATTGGCTGTTCTACTAGCCGAAATGCGTTGCTAAACCTCTAGAATGCAGATTCCAGCAGGCAGGCAGAATGCATTTGCACCTAAGTGTGCCCTTCTGCACACAGCAGTGGATCTTAGTCAAATTTCCTAGTTTACTCTCTTCCACTACAGAGAGCCAGGCCACACCTTAGGTTGAACTACAGTAACCATACTAACAGAACTGCGTCATCACTTTTAACATGTCGGGCACATCTTCTCACTTAAGCCTCAAAGCACCCCAGGGAGCAGGAATTACTCCTGTTATATATCCAGGAAAACAAAGACAGGAATACCAAGGTCACACACCCATCAGTGGCAGTCACATGCCATGTAAAACACCAGGTATATGATGAGGATATATCCCCAAATTCTGCAAGCCCGACTGTGAACAATGATCTTATTTTCTACATAATGACAATGGGATCCTAAACCTTTTCAAATACTTCAATTTTAAAAGACACATTTCATTCTTGAGCATAAAAGTACTCAAATGGATAACCCTAAGCAATATAAAGCCAACCAATCTTCCAGAAAGGACCAATTCATCCAGCTTGAATTACTGAGCTCAAAATGTTTTTTTTAGGATCTATGACTTTCTCTGTTTATCAGTTTGAAACTTTAGGAAAAAGGCAGATCTCAGGTCTGGACCTGCCAGCTGTGGGGTGACTGTCACTATCCTGGTCATGAGATTCAGCTGTTGGCTTGGTTCAGGTCCCTGTCCTCCCTCAGCATGCTGGGTGCTATCTGCAGTGTCAGACACAGTGTTTCTAGAAAACAAAAGAGCTGTTGTTTGATCAAGGACATGAGATTAGATGTGTTCCTATTCTAAAAATATAAAATAACACTTCAAAATTCATTTAGTAGGAAGCACCAATCAGTAGCCTCTCTGAAGGTTTTGGTCTCATTTGAAAAAAACACCTCCAAGTTTCTTTCTAGCTCTAAGACCTAGTGAAATAAAGTAATGTTTATCTGCATCTCTTTATTCCTCGCCACAATTATTTTACCACCAAAAGGAGGGAGGATAAGCACTGTTCCCTCAGTGGTAGATCCTGACAGGCACAGTATGCCATTTTATTTCAGAACAAAGGTTTGATGAGAAGGGCTGAAGCAGCAAGCATTCTCTACTGAAAAGTGCAAGAATTGAGTGTAGTTCTTCAGCTGTTCTCAAAGACTCTGGAGTTGCTGCTGCTGACAAGCACAGGAATCGTGAGGTTAAAACAGAAAATCACGTATTTCTATCTTAAAAAGACCTTAAGGAGGAAGAAACACAAAGGAGGTAAGATAGTTAAATCAGTTGGATAAATAATGTATAAAGGATAGACAAATTTGATTTGATTCAAGTTTTCAAACCCCAGGAAATTCAGGAAGTCTGAACTGTGCTAGTATTGGCTCCTTATTATCTTATTTGTTGTACATTTATTAGTTTTTTATTCTATAACTAGAAATAAATAAAAAATATGCATGGCTATTTCATATTGTTGTTACATTACAGCCACAGAAACATTCTTTTGCTGTAAAGATCTGTCAATCTGCTAAGTTATACATCATTCCCTACCTGATTGCTTAATTTATTACAATTATTTTTAGTTGGTCCCACTAATAGAATCCACATTCAGCAGTGGCCTATTCTTTTCTTTTTCAAGCGAGTAACCAGTATCCTTTAAAGATTCTAAAGTCACATTACATAAATTTCCCTACATTCTTAACTACATTAAGCAATCCTGTTCCACTGACTATATTTTTTTTTTCTTAAGAGTTGATAGCTAAAGACTAACATCAACAAGTACTACACACAAACCTGAGTGCTGGACACTATATAGATGATTAATACTCCTGTTATATAACTTTCATCAAAAGAATTTCTGGAATTTAAAAAAAAAAAAGACAGAAAGAAATCCAGTCAAGAAAAGGAAGAAAAACCATGTTGCTAACTGGATGTGTTCACAGCAGTGTCCAGGAGGGGAAGGGTGCTACCTGGCAGGCCAGGCAGGAATGACCGCCTCCAGACAGGAGAGTGAGCAACTTAGAGAGGAGAGGGAGAGGGCAGAGTATGGCAATTAGGTATCAAACTCATGCTTCCTAGGTCAGCTGAGTTTACTCAATTCTCTTTTCTTTAGGCAAAAAAAATTAAAATGGGGTTCAGAACAAAAAAATGAAAAACTCTCAGGTCTCCAAAAGCTGTGGACAGAAAGCAGACTTGAAAGGGTCCCAGGAAACAGGTGATACTGACCTAAGAAAATCTGAATAATTCATATAACTGTACCAGGCCTCACTTTATTCTTCCACCAAAGAATGCAATCTACTTTCTAAAGTCACAGATTCCTTCCTCAATTTGTCTAGGGTTTCTAGAGAATTCTAAGTATTTTTAATGCAACAAAGTCTAAATGTTCCCTCCAAAACAAACAATACCTCTCCTAAGACCTGCTTTGGAGAAAAATTCAATAGCTTCAAAACAAAGCCCATCAGATACGATCTGCACTTCCTTCACATTACAAACACTGTGTGACCTCTTTCACACACTGGGAAATTCATTTGAAAGAATTCTAGGTTTCTAAGTAGAAATGCCATATTAAATATCTGTTCTTACTATACTATGTAGCTATCTGACAAAGGATAATTGCAGTGACTTTGTCAACGAACAAATGTAAACAATAAGAACAACTTCCAGGGTGTTTGCTGGCTTCACATTTCCAGATAGCAGTTCAAACCCCCAAAAGCACAAACAGAAGAGGAGCTTTCTCACTCCCATACCATTGTCCTCAAAGTTCCAGCCATAGTTGCGAGAGTCTTTCAGGGCTTGTCCTAACAAAGCTGCTTGGTGCATTAGTTTTTTAGGTATGCAACCCACATTCACACACGTTCCTCCAAGACCTGCAACAACATTAAAAATTAAAATTTTACTATGTGCACACACACCCCATCTTTATCATCAAACCCATATGCAGAAATGACCAAGAGTGGTTATGCTAAGCATGGCTTAACTGCAGTGGTTCTGAAACCACACACAAAAAACTGTTAACTTATGTGCATTTTATTTTCTTAAGGAGGCTTTCACTGGATTCTCCAAAGGACTCATGTCCCATCTCCCTCACCCCTACCCCTTCAAAATAGCACAATATCTCTAAGCTTAAAAAGCACTGTGATAGCTTGTTTCCCATTAAAATAAGATGCAGGCAGGTGGAGAGGTTGCCAAAATAAAATCAATAAGCATGCAAGACAACACTGGACTTCGAAGCTCAAAGCTATGTCCTCTAAGAACACTACCAAGAGTTCTGTGGAGGTAGGCACTGCAGGGTAAGGGACATACCTAGTACCAAGAACAGTGCCCAGCACAGGATTGACATTTAAGTTTTTGCTAAATGGATAAATGAGAAATTGTGATATTGCCGTACCTAGATTTCTGCTTCTTGCCTCCTTCTTATGCAAGCAGCCAAGTAATCTTCATAGAATTTACCTACTACATTACTCTCCTGCCTTAAACTCCTCAAAGGTTTCCCACTATGCATTGATTAGTTCAAAGTTCTCATCTTGGCCTGCAATGCCCTCATGCTACCTCCAGGTCCTACCACTCATGCTAGAAGGATGAAGGGCTCTTATGTACCTCAGGGCCTTTGAATGTACCACTATGAAACAGAGAAAAGCGGCCTGGAGGGTATGCCTCAGCTTCTGGTATAGGGAGTTCATTCTTACTTTTTAAGGCTTTGCCTAACTGCCATCTCTTCAGTAGCCTTCCTTGATAATTTTCTCAAAGTCAAAACTCTCCTTTACCCAGTTCTTCTCTATCCCATTATAAAAAAAAAAAAAAAATTTTCAGGACCACTTATCACAATTTGTGAAGTCCTTGCTTGTTTTTAATCTTCACACCAAAATGTAGGTGCCACAGGGGGCAGAAATTTCTTTCATACTGTGACAATCTAAGCTATATTCCCCAGGACACTGGTTCTTACATCATCAGAATTTATTTAATCAATGAATAATAAAAATAAAATTCCCCAAGACAGAAGCAGCAAGGCTGCCCATTCTGATTCTAGTTTTTATTTAAATGTAGAAAGTGGATTTAAAACAGGAAGTTTTAAAAGGTTTTACATTTTTTACTTATTAACCCCCTAAATACATTAAACTGCACAAATGTTTACCATAAGGCATAGCTTGTGCAAAAGGTTTCTATCTTGGCTATGCTAAAGAACCTGGATTTTTTAGCATTTAACCCAAGTCACTTTAACTTGGCTCAAATGAAAGAGATATGCTGTTGGTTTTTGTTTGTCTCAGTGGGTTTTAGGAGCTACTTAGATCATTGCTAGGGAAAAACTGACTTCTACAAAACCACTTCTGAACTACTTTAGGAGCTTACCCCATCTAGTTCCAAGAGGGGTTGGAGTGACAAAATCCAAGACCATAACCTTCTTGTCATATTTGGCTGCCTCCTGGAAAACAAAATTACTAAAATGAGTTGAAAGAGTTAATATAATAAGTGGGCAATGGGCTGCTAACATCGATGTTGTTTTATTAAGCTATAATGCCTAAGGCATAACCAATTATTTATACAAGGGAATTTCATGTACCATGACTTTTCAACTCCAAGATAAAAACTAAGATCCTCAGATAGGCCAGGTGTGGGGCTCATGCCTGTAACTCTAGCGGCTCGGGAGACTGAGGCAGGAAGATCTTCCAAGTTCAAAGTCAGCCTCAGCAACAACTTAGCTAGACCTTAAGCAACTTAGTGAGACCTTGTCTCTAAATAAAATACAAAAAAAGGACTGGAGATATGGCTCAGTGGTTAAGTACCCCTGAGTTCAATCCCCAGTACCTTAAAAACACACACACACACACACACACAAAAAAAAAACACTCAGTTGTGAGGGCAGCTTTAAAGATTAGGCAGATTCCAGTTATAAAATCGTTGGAACTGGATAGAAACCCTAGAATCCTCTTACATAATTCTACTCAAACAATAGTAGATTAAGCAATAATCTGAAAAAAAAAAAAAAAAAAAGTGGCCATTCAAGTGCTACAGAGCTGGTACAGCCAATTTATTGACAGCTACAGCCCTTCAAAGTCTCCAAATATATTTTTTGGGGAATGAAGACAACATTCAGGTTCATTTGAGTACCTTCTGCCTTTCTCGGGGACTAAGTTTATACGCTGGCAACTAAACCTCTAATGGTTAAGAGGACAGAGTCCCTGCGCACCACTTCCAGAGTAAATTACATCAGGTACTATTCCTGAATTGCTTTCAGCGAAGTGTCACTTCATGCTAGACACTGCCCTGCTCCTAATTTGGTCAGCTTCATGTGAATCTACCACCTTTCCTACATGACCACAAACTATACATTAAGGGAGTATAAACCACGTCATCTTTGAAAGAACCTGGTAGAAAGGATGACAGGGCTAAGGTCCTCACATGGGCAGTGGATCTAGGTTTAGGGCCAGGAGCCCCACTCCTAACCTGGACCTATACATCCTCTTCCCAGTCACATCCAGTCCTCGGTGAGAGGTTATTCTCTTGGATCACCCTCATCTACACTGGAGGCAAATACTTAAGTTTTAAAAATCTAGCTCTTCCTCTTCTTTCTTCTAGGGACACAAGGGATTGAGAACAAGTAAATCATCAAAGTGAAAAAAAATCTAATACAAGTATTAATGATAAATATATTTGTTTAATTTCAAACCATTTCCACAAAACACCCTTATTATCTTTGAAAGAAAAAAAAATCAACCAAACTTAAATGAAAATGTGTTCTAAGCATGGGCCCAGTATTATATCAAGAACACGTATTTCAATTTGGAAAGGCAATTTATAATTATGGTCCCTTAACATGTACCACTCAAAGTTAATGTGAAAAATACAAAAGGGCCTCAAACCAATTACACAGAGGACGGGGGAACTGTCATAGACAGGAATACTCCAAACATAACCCAGATGACACACAACACAAGGAGCCTTGCCTTGGCAGCAGCCAGTCCTCCTGAGCCACCTCCAATGATGATAAGGTCGAAGTCATAGGATTCGGGAAGATCCTCAGAGCCATTCATTTTCAGTTGCTGTTGAAGACTGTCCTCACAAGCCTAAAGAAAAACAATGGAAAATAATTTTAATTTAACTTAAAAGCAACAATATCTAAAAAGTTTGTAAGACATTCTTCCTTTTGGAAAGCAAAAGGAATTTTCAAAGAAAAAAATGTTATTTGACTTCTATTATAGTTCATGAAGAGAAATATTCCACCTTCCTTCAAGCGGGGTCAGTGCTTGCTTGCTTTTGGGTTCGGATCCTGGAGGACTGGCTCCAGTCAGCGCCCTCTTGTGCCACACTCTTCTTTCAAGTGTTCGTGGAATACTTCTACATGGGGAAGTCCTGGCAGCACAACCAAAGCAACTTTGACCTAAACTTAGTTTGAGCATCCTAGAATTTTGAAACTAAATTTTAAATTAGGTTTTTAAAAACATTTGTACAGTATGTTTTTAATGGAGCCATCAATATAGTTTAGTAATCATCTTTACTTTCTAAGTCAAACGTGCAGTGAATGGGTTAAAGTCTCAGACCAAGATAGGGGCCTGGTAAAGTGTGGGTAAAATTATTTCAATGTAGCAATTTTAAAGTCAGTCAAATATTTAAGACTTTTCTATAATTTTAGCTGAAGCATTAAAAATCTGGAAATTCGGATTAATCAAGTTATATATACATGCATGAATATGATATAATGAACCCCACTCTAACACAATTATAAAAAACTGTTTAAAAAGTTTAAAAGAAAAAAAACTAAAAATCCAGAAAAATTGATTGACATTGACCTGCATGAAAAATATAAGAAAAGAAGTCTCTGCTTTTCAAGGTATCTTATGGTTGTTTTTACAGTATTTGGGATAGAAACTAGTGCCTCATGTATGCTAGGTAAATACTCAACCACTGCCAGGCATTTTAAATAAATATGGCTCTGTCTAGTTCAATCCTTTCATCTGCATATACTTGAAGTCTCCTATATTTATTTATGCTAGAGAAGCGCTCTACCACTGAGCCACAATCCCAGCCCTGAAGTCTCCTATATTATTTCGTTTTCATATTCTATGCAATAGGCTTTATAAATTTAGGTTTTTGACTCTCGATTCTCAAAAATCCAATCATTCCACTATTATTTCATATTACCTTTTATTAAAATAAAAATCTGTGCTAAGGAGAGGACTGAAAAAGCTGAAGAACACAAACAAAATGTTTTTTTAAACATAAAGTTTTAACCTTAATAGCCAAAAAATCCCCAAACTTACCAGCCCAGACTGCATATTTTTCTCCTGCCTACAATCAGGTGTAGCGGATGAAAGGCAGGACTTGGGGCCAGCAAAACAGGGTGCTTGGGATGTGGAAGGGGGTGCAGTTGAGGAATGTGGAAGAGGAGGCTCAGCCCTGCAGGTGTCCCCAGGCAGCATGCCAGGTGCACATGGTGACTCAGGGGCCAGAGGGACAGTCCAGCAACAGTGGGGACAAGACCATATCACCCTGATAGTCTGCACAAAAGGTCTAATGCCAGAAGCTGGTAGGCATAGCCAGTATTCATCAACTGGCATCATGGCTGAGGCTGCTCCTTCAATGCAGGGCACTGTGGGGGAAAACAAGTTGGTAATGACAGCCATTCAGAGCAAAGGACCAGAATGAGCTTCATGTAACAAGTGCTACTCCCTCGGTCTCACAGAGCAGGAGAATGACTTGCAAATAGACATAGCTGGATGTTCTTGAAAAAATAACCTCATTTTATCTGCACAGACTGTTGAATAATCGCTGTCTAAATGAAACCACCAATTCTGGGAAAGTGCTGCTTCCAACATACCTACCTAGTTCAATAAATGAAAGAAAATGTATCCTTGTGCTGAAAAGCTGAAAGTAGCCCTCACCAACTTAATCATCAGTGCTAGAAAAAATTCTGTTGCTGACCTGGGTTCTTGTATTTCAAGCTCAAAATCAAATTCTATCAACCAGTGCACGGATTTTATAAAGGCAGCACTGAGCAAGCATGAACTAATTTTTAGCTCTTGTAAAGTAAAATCAGTAACACAGGCCTCTTGTTGACCCTAGAACCAAACATTATGTTTTTAAATTTTAAGCCAATTTAAAATTAAAATTGTTGTCATTCAGTTCAAGGTAAATCTCACCTGAAAGATAAATATGATAGAGGGCAGAGGGCAAGTTCTTCCAGGCAGCACAAGAGGGTAAGGAGTGGCACGAATGAGTGCCCCACTCTCCTCCAGCTACAAATGCTAGAAACAATGGCTGCTGACTGAGGGGGTGCATTCTCAAACCTGTCCGGCTCAGGACCCTTTTATAATATGAAATTATTTAGGACATCCAAGAATTTTTGTTTATGTGGATTCTAGCTATTAACATTTACTACATTAGAGATTAAAACTAAGAAAATTTATTAATTAATTTAAAATTAATATACCCACTGTGTGCTAAGAGGAACATTATTTTTGTTTAAATTAGTGAGTGACATTTTTAAATATCTTTGCAATTCCCTTTAATGTCTGGATTAACAACATTCATTATCTGCTTCCCTCCTCTACTGATTTACTGCAACATCACCTGTTGTGTAGTCTCTGGAAAACTCCACAGCACACTTGAGTGAAAAGGCAAGTAGCATCCTAGTATTATGAAAACAATTTTGACCTCAAAGTCAAGGGACATGTATGAGGTGATGTTCAAAGTTCAAAACAACTTAGAACAAAACACTTGAGTACTACCTTCTAACTTGGTTACATACACCCAAGAGGCTGCCGTTTTCTCACACATAAAATTAAAAACATGGAAAAAATTTTGAAAAATATAAGGAGTCTAGCATAATGGTTTAAGAACCATTATGACTTGCAACTTAAGTATGATCTTATGCTAGATGCTTAAATCCTCCTGCCTTGCTTTTCCTGTTTGCAAAAACAAGGGACTACTTCATAGGGGTTTGGGTGAATCAGACAATCCATGTAAATGCAGAACAGTGCCCAGAACACAGCAAGTCTTTAACATGGTAGCTAAATAGCAAGGGACAGTGGAAGTATTTTGTCGAAGCGGCACAGTTGGGTAAAAGAGCTAAACAATTTAGAGCAACATCCCAAATGTTCTAAATTGCTTAAATTTCATGTTTTATACCTCATATGCAAAATAAGCAGCCTGACTTTTCTTAATGCCATAGATGCTCATGTCTAGTCTATTAAAAACCCAAACAACAAACTCAGCAGTTTGTATAGAACCTATACCAGATCCAGCTGCTTATCTTCTTTGAAACCTGATGGCTGTCGGACTTGTACTGTAGCAGCCACTGGGATGTACCTCAGGCCTTTCTTGCTTTGGATTATGAACTAGGAAAGCAATAAAGGGAAACTGCAAGTTAAATGCTACAGGTTCTCTAGAAAAGACTAGGTCTATGACAGGGCCAAGGCAACAGATCTGTTTTTCCAAAGCCTTGACGTTAAGAATGGTTCTTATATTTTTAAATGGTTGGAGAGGAAAAGAGTAATAATTCAAAATAAAAATTACATTAAATTCAAATTTTACTATCCACAAATAAGATTTTATTGGAAAATAACCATACCCATTTATTTCCAAATTGTCTATACTTTTCTTTTTCAATAGCAGAATTGATTATAGATTGCAACAGAGGCCACATAGCCCACAAAGCTTAAAATACTATCTGGCTTTTCACAGAAAAAAACTTGCCAAGCCCTGGTCTGGGGAAATTTTGAGTTTGTCAGTGGGTGGTAGTGGACAGAAAATAACAGCAACACTGAAGTGAGTGCAAATCAAAAAATCACCTCATTGTTCAGGGAAGGAGAGATGCTTCCTCTAAGGAGAAATTAGAAAGTTGGCTGTCCATGACCAATTATCTAGATATATAGCTAGCATATGACTACAATGTCTAGAACCATGGTAATGTTTCACCTGTACTCTGTGTCAAGTATTCTGGTAAATGACTGCAGGTACCACATTGATTACCTCCTTCCGGAGCTTTTCTATCCTATCTGAAAGTCAATTCAACCAATATCCCAGCAGTGTTTCTTTGGTACAACGGTCATTCACAAAAATGTTGCTGTCTTTTCCTCAGTGACTCCCCCGACATAAGAGCATGAATCCCTATAACCTGTGAATGTTACCTTTAAAAGGACTTTGGAGATGTGACTAAGAATCTGGAGATGGGATTTTCTAGAATTATCCCAGCAGGCTCAATGTAATCACAAAAGTCCTTGTAAGAGGGAGGCAGAGAAATGACTACAGTAGCTGGAGATGTGTTCACAGAAGAGACGGCACTGCCAGTTTTGAAAGTGTTCTGTACAGGTGGCCTCCAGAAATTGAAAAGACAAAGAATGAGATTCTCCCTCAGAGCTTCCAGAAAGAACCAGACTTGCTGATGCCTTGATTTTGGCTCAGCCAACCCAATTCTGGTTGGACATCCAACCTCCAGAACTATAAGATAGTTAGTATTGCTTCCACTCACTGTTTGGTTACAGCAATGATAAATGAATATACCCTCTAAAATAGAAACACAATTTTCTGGCACCACTTTTTCTCCAGGCCTAGAGCAGTGTCTGGCACCATTTGTGCAGATTCCAGTTACTTGGCAATGAATTCTCCAGAAGACAGACAAGGGATCTAGAAGTATAAGGAGGACTGGGTTGTGCCTCCTTGGTAGAGCGTTTGCCTAGCATGTGTGAGGCACTGGGTTCTATCTTCAGCACCACATAAAAACTAAATTTAAAAAAAGGTATTGTGTCCATCTACAACAACAACAACAAAAAAAAAATTTTTTTAAAGCATAAGGAAACTACAGTGAGTGGTGGTACCCCAGAATTTGTTGACCCTGATATCTGGAGAATGGGGCAATAACATGAGTGTCCACAATGAGACAGACACCATGCTGGAAGTTTTACACACATTACATCTCATCTAATCCTTATAGTAGTCCTCTAACTATTGTTAGATATCATTCCCATTTCATACCTAAGGGAGACCTTGAGAAATTAAGAAAACTGCCCACTAGCCAAGAATTAAACCGAGGTTTCAAATTACAAATCTATTACTTTTCTCACTGCACCACCATATATAGTAGTTCTTATTTCAAAGTATTTATCATAAATTTTTCTAATCTAAACCTTACTATTATTCTCACTTGGAAAATCAAAAACCTCAACTTTACAGTTAGACAATCTGCCCAAAGTGGATAACAAAAATGTTAGTACTGATGCAGGACATTTGATCACAAAGTGGTCCTATTATCCAATAAAGTTTTACTTTAAAATAAATTCACAACATTCTCTTAAAGTTCAATTTATTTGAACCTTCAAAAGTTAAAGTGCTCAGGGCTGGGGTTGTAGCTCAATGGCAGAGCACATGCCTAACGTGTGACGCACTGGGTTCGATCCTCGGACCACATAAAAATAAGGTGTTGTATCCATCTACAACTAAAAAGCAACAACAACAACAAAATTTACAGGTGCTCAGAAAACAATATAAAGTTAAGGTGTTCTAACTATTAGTGGGAAAACACCATTTTTTCAATATGATTCTTAATCTTTATAAAGGAACTCATCTCTCCATTGGTCAAGTCTTTTCTTCAATGTAAACATGTGCTTTAATTTCAAAATAATGAGATAACTCACATGTCATGACAACTAGTAAAAACAAAAATGAGTGGATAACTCTAATTTTAAAGAGACCCAAAAAATTACCTACATTTTCTATTATCACTCTGTGTCAAATCCTCCCAGTAAAGAAATGAATCTGATAGTGAGTGAAGAACTCAGGATCTCTCCACTATCCAAAACAATTATCTTTTCGCTCCAACAACAGATCTCCGGAAAACTCAAGCAAGGTTGGCAGATATACCAGAAGTGAGGATCAGCAAGACCACCCTAAATCAAAGGGTGACAGAAACTGACAAGGATTGGAATTCCTTGAGAATTCTAATAAGAGGTAAGAATAGCTACTTCAGAAAATAATTTGCCAACAAGAAATATCTATTTTTTAAAAATTCTCCAGTATATTATTAGTGAAAAACTTCCCCAAATATCAGCTCTGGCCTCTCTTGGTATCATTTGTTTAGCCTTTGGATTTCCCTTCCCTGTACCAACTAGACTTCCTACTAACAGTCACTTACCCCACTTACCAATTAATTGCCAAATTCCTCCACTACCAAAGATTAAGTTCCTAAAGATAGAAGGAAACTTATGGGTATGCTTATTGTACATTCTAAAGCTTTTTAATTTTCAGCAGTAATTTCTAAATCAGGTTGTAATTTGTACTCTTAAAACAACTAGAAGCATCAAAAAGAAAAAAACAGAACAGTTCACACTAAGAATATGTGAATAAACACAGTTTAAACAGAGACAGTTCTAGCCCTATTAACATGTAAAATTAGTTGGGACAAATATCTGAAGTTGTTACACGATAACACATCACTGATTCTGAAGGACATTTTTTATTAGCAGATACATAGAGAGAATGTATGGGCAAGAGAAGACATTAACCAAGCACAAAAAGCTTACAAATAAGCATGTAAGAAGGATTTTTTAATATATATATATATTTTTTTAGTTGTAGATGGACACAATACCCTTTATTTTTATGTGGTGCTGAGAATCGAACCCAGTGCCCCATACATGTGAGGCAAGTGCTCTGCCGCTGAACCACAATCCCATCCCAATCCATATTAGAGGAATTTGTGGGACAAAAAACTTCTAAGGACACTAACAGATGAAGTCATGCAATTCTCACATAGCTTCACATTCAAGCAGAATTGTTTCCCCTAAATCTAAAGGTTCTCTTCTGCCATGACTTATGCATTTGCCCTTATTACTTCCCTGCCTAGAAGGCTGTTCCCATCTCCCAATTCCTACTCCCCCTTTCAGCCCTTATTTGATGTTTTGTCTACTGAGCAGTAGTCACACAAATTTGCTGAGTCAGCTTACAGGAGAAATCATTTAGAAATTTATTCTCTGCAGCGAAGCACAGCATCTAACTTTTTTTAAGTTGTAATAGTGCATATTTACTACCTTAACGCTTTTCTTGAGCAACTTTTTACCCACTCTCACCTCAACTTAATGGGATTCTCCTTGGTTCACTACCAGAGAGGAAGCAAAACAGTATCACATACCATTCTGATTTTTTTTTTTTTTTTGCAAGTTGGCCAATGTATTTAGTTTACAAAACTCAGAATTTAAAAAATTTTTTATTAATGTAGATTTTATAGAGCATTCAAAAAAATATTTCCCATAAGTATGCCAGTGAAAATTTTTAATAACAGATCACAACCTCATAAATTACCAAAACACATTACACAGAAAAACAATTTTCAATATTCTTGAAAATATTTTGCTTTACAAGAAATATAATGTGTGCACTTCTGTTCAGATTTTGCTGTTTTGAGATACTTCAGAAAAACAAAACTGACTCTTACACTAGGAACAAAAATCTAATATGAGTTTGTAATCATAGCCTCTGAAATTTCAAAAGTTGCCACAATATTTTTCCAATCCTGTAAACTCAGAGATATAACCCCTTGCTTCCTACCAAAGGAACTGGGATCACTTCCTTCACCCATTTGGTTAATATTAATTGGCTCTAATATTGGCAGCCTGTCTTGGTCAAGCCTTATTCTTGCAAAGCCATCTCTTATAATAAAAGAAACGTAGAATATATTCTCCACTGTACGAGAGAAAGAGTTTGGATCAATCACAAACTCAAAATAGGACACAGGAGTATCAGGATACTTTCGAAAGTAGGTTTGCAACAATCCCAAGATTCTTTCTACTTCTTTTTCTGTTGCTTCTTGGTTGGTACTCAGGTCCAACTTCCTCAACTTTGTAGGCATATCCCCATTTCCTTCCATTTTGCGAAATTTTTTGTGATGTTCAAGTCGGGGCTTTCGTACAAAAGGCTCAGACTTGAATGAACCAAAAATAAAGTGGAATGTTTCAGCTTGCAATATCCAGGATGTTGCTTCCTTCTGTACTGTCTCCCAAAAGGAAAGAGAGATATTGTCATCACAACCACTCAACTCATCACATTCGTCTTCCATCCAATTGAGGCCCACAAATATAAACAGAAAGTCACAAAACGCTACTTGATCAAAAAAGCTCATATCAGAATTTAACTGCTTTGCTTTTTCTTTACCCAAATCAGAAGCCAAAACAAGAAACTGGGCATCGAGGGCAGCCTCTCTCGTTCGGCTCACTCCATCAAATAGGACGTTGGCTTCCTCGAGGGCCTCGGTTAAGGAGTCGCTGGCCGTGTTCACTATGTCCTCTCGGTTCTGCTGGACACTGTACATGAGCTGCCGGTATTGCTTGCGGATGTTCCGACACTTCTCCTCGTCCTCGGTCTGACCCAGGAGGTGACAATCCAGCTCGGGGTCCCGGGAGCTGAGGTCGTCAGAGCAGCTGTCCACCCCCACCACCACTTCCATCTTCGGGGGCTCCTCCTCCTCCTCCACCTGCTTCATGGAGCACGCACGGCAGGTGCCTGTCGCCACTGGCTCCTCGCCTCCCATCAGGGAACCTTGCTCATCAGACATGTCCGCAACCGGTAGCAAGCAGCCAACCGCCTTCAGAATGTTCCCGACGCTGGCGGAAATCCAAGGGGCAGTTGGAGAAGAGGAGGGATGCCAGCCCATGCGCAGTGCGGTGCGGACCTCTGCTGGGCTCGCCTCGCCCGGCCCCGCCCAGCTCCGCCCCGCCCCGCCCCCAGCTCCTCCCGTGGCTGCAGCTTGCTCTGCGCTGCCCACCCTAGCGTTAGCCAACTGGCCTGCGCAATGCAAAGAACTGGCGCAACAATGGACCCCCAGCCCCTTACGGAAATAATTCCCATTCAAGAGGCAGCTATTGTAATTTTCAGCAATGACAAAACAACCTAACTTTCAAAGAAACACTTGGACAACAACTAAAGGTCCTACGCTTTAATTAAAACGTTCCCTGCCATACATTGAAATGAGGTCCACATACTTCGTTCTGTGATTTAAAGCTTTTATTTAATGCTTGTTTTTAATAACTAGTGTGGCTAAACTGCTGGTAAGGCCAAGTTAAGGTCGAGGGCCCTGAAATGAAGAACCCTCATTAAAATTAGGCGAAATAAAGTTCCCAGGTGCAAGGTGACTGGAAATCACACAAATGTAATCGGGTTAATTAACCTTTGCTAGCCCTCAAAAAGCCAAATCCCTGCTCAGGTTATAACTGAGTGATAGAATGCTCACTTGGGTTCATTCCCAGTACTGGGGAGAGGGGGAAGGGGGGGGGGGGGCGTGCGCACAAAATCCTCTGCAATTTACCAATTCACCTCATGGGGTAGGATCTTTCAAGAGAAAATGCGCAAGATGCACTTGTGACCTTTGGTTTTCCACTGCCTCAGAGAGGAAAAAGAAAATGGGTAGGTAGGGCTTTTCCACAAAACATATTTGGAAGTCTATCAAAGGTTAACAGCCACCTAAAAAATGAACAAAGCTATGAGGATTTTAAACATGTTATAAGGATATGCAAGTGAAATCTGTAAATTGGGTAAGTATGTGTTGGAAAATTCACCCCCTTGCTCACTGGAAATTCAAGTGCCAGTTCATGAAGCTACTCAGGTTACCAGTCACACATGTAGAAATGTGTAACTGACAATGGAAGGACTACATAATTAGGACATGCCTAATCCCCAAAAGCTTTTCAAAACTGCAACCGTTTCCCCTTAAAAAAAAAAAAAAAAAAAAAAAAAAAAAAAAAAGTGGACCCATGTGCTGCATCTGGCAATCACAAATTTCAACTAACCAGGAAACAAATTGGCCCTACCTACTCTTCCTGTGCATCTAGACCAGTTTTTCTTTTGGTCTACTTTCCTGCATGTGAATAAACAGTAAAACCTATATTAACTCTAAAATTCTTACCTTACCATTCATCCATAATTTTTTTTAAGTAGGGGCAAATCAGGAAAAAACATGCACTTTTCAGAATCATCCATTATGGTTATTTGTGTGTGGATGTACTGTATTATCCTGGCCTATTAGATTGTGAGGTTTGCAAAAACAAAAACTTGACTTTAAATATTCCAAACAACTGATCTTATATGGATGCACTTGGGTATGTACTGACTGAATAAGTAATATACTTTAAGAACTTTGTTCCAGTACTGTTACAAAAGTTATTTGGTGGCAAAGATTAATTTCACAAGATTAGTAGAATAGATTCTACACAATGAAGGCAAAAATCAATTGTCTTTCAGAAAGTGTCTTATCCCTCGTCTGAAACAAAGAAAAAACAAAGACCCAGCATCATCAAAGGGCTATCTTCTTCCCATCTGGCCAATCACAAATTAATACTCAAACCTCTCTTAAATCTCAGGTCAAAATGTAGTTAAGAACTCCAAGATCCAAATCCAAAAAAAGTCTACTTTTACAGTAAACCATATTTTGAGGAGTGTATTTCAATCAATTTTAAATTCAATAAAAGCAATTTATAATTAAAAAATACTCCAAAAGATATGACAATCTCTCATTCTAACCTTTTTTTTTTTTTTTTTTTTTTAGAAAAATCTGGTAATTCTCCCAAACTACTCAGAAAGTATCACAAATATCATTTACAGGGATTTCTCAGAAGATAACAGCTCATACAACTTGCTCAGAATTAACACTACATCAAAATGAGCATGATGTTATTAAAAACTGTCACTTCCAATACTGAATTCATTCTACGCTGTATCAGGTCCTCAGGAACCTTATAATATGTAATTTAGGTCATCTGCAGAAAGGTAAACTTGTATAATTATATTCAGCCTTTAAGTCTGCACACAATTTTAGTGTTTCTATCAAGTAAAACTATCTCAAGTTCAATGTTTTTTCCTCAGTCACTTAAATGGGATTTCTACACTTATGAATCCTTAAATCATTAAAACTGATTTTCTAACCTAAGATCCAACTACTACTAATTATTATAAATGTAACTTAAAGAGGAAGAAATGGCAACACATAATTTCAAGTGATATTGGTGAACTTTTCCAGGACTTGGAACAGAAAGCACAGTGCAGTTTTCCTCTGGTTTTTCCTTTCCTCTCCTGTCTGAAGAACTCCTACCCAAGGCTCAACTGACCCTCCATTTTTTTTCTTCCATCTTTTCTTCCATATTTTTTTGTTCCTGTCCCAGAAGTTCAGACTGATTTACGGAAAGACCATTACAACAAATAGATTTTGTGACTTTTTCCAGCCAACATGAGAATCAGAGTGGAGTCCCACAGTCTGACAGCTGGTTACACATGTCCCACTATCAGCTACCTCCCAAAGCTTTTCTGTACTTTCTCATAGCAGCTTCTGTCCTCTCGACCCACCATCAGGGTATCTGTTTAATAATGAGTTGTGAAGACAGGTGATAAAATTTCTGGTTTCATTTACAACAGACAGTAGATAGGGTGTGAGGTACACTTTCTCTTTCACCTTAATTTCCTTTAAATTTATGTTTGTATGAATTTTTTGCTTTGTCTTTTGTAGTATATATTAAAGTTAAAACTTTGTTATGATCAAGGGATCTGGTTTTCGTTTTGTTTTGGTACCAAGGATTGACCCCAGGGTCACTTAACCACTGAGCCACATCCCCAGTCCTTCTTATTTTTAGACAAGGTCTTAATAAATTGCTTAATGCCTCACAAATTTGCTGAGGCTGGCCTTGAACTTGTGATCCTCCTGCCTTAGCCTCCCAGGTCACTGGGATTATAAGCATGCACCACCATGCTCAGTAAGAGATCTGTTTTTAAAAGGAGTTTCTAAGTGGGAGGGAAAAAACAACCAACCATGCATAGTGGCAGGAGACAACAAACCTGAGTTCTGGTCTTGATCTGTCAGCTAATGGTATTACCTTTAAGCAGACTGCTTAACTCTCATCCTCCAGTGACCTCATGCATAAGATGGGAATACTTAACTATTTATATCATACAATTACTAAGTACTGAATGAGGATTATATAACAGATCAGGCAATATTTTCAACTATTGAGTAGGTACTCAATAAATTGTAAAGTATCCCCAAAATAGCTGATGTTTAATAAATATCAGACACTAATAAGAAAAAAATGTATATGCAAACTAGAAGCTTCACTCCTTATTGTTGCTCTAGAAACAACAACAAAAAAAAAGGTCTTAAAGCTTAAAATCAGTAAAAAGTAATAAAGGAATATATTCCACTACAACAAAGATATCTGCCATACAACAAAAAAGTTAAAACCTACTAAGTTTCAACTACTGAAAATATGCATATGACTTTGAAGGTTAAATTTCTCCACAGGTATTTTTAAGCAGATCCACAAAGAATCTGAGTTTACATGCAAAATTACTTAATAATTACTTATTATCATTAATAATTGTTTATCTCATGAACAGCTCCTTAAATTCCAAACTTTTTTAAAAGTACAGTATCCAAAAAACGGCTTTGAATAACTACTCTGTTCAAATAAAATGACATTATTATTGTTATAGTAGGGCTGGGGATAGAACCCAGGCAAGAGCTCTGTCACTGAGCTACACCCCATCCCAAGATGGCATTACTATTTGTAAAGTAAAAGTTAAAATGAAAGCCAGGTCACACTAAATAATATGGACTGCCACACACGGAAATTTAAAAAACCACCACCCTTGACTTGTGGTCAAGGCACACACTTACTGACATTTAAAACTCCGCACTAGTGACATGCCAAGCTCCAATAGCATAAACAAGGGTGTTGAGATAGCCCCAACCACACCTCAGAAGTCAGCAATGAGCATCATTCTGACAGACTGAGGGAGGGGCACTAGGTGTGTGGCTATTAAAGGTGGCAGTGTTGAAGGAGCTCAGCTCTGGAGGCCTGGGTTCAAATAAAAAACATGTTTTCTCATTTTCTTCAGCCTTTGAGTTTCCTCACTTGTACAATCTGTCTCTGTCTCTCCAACTTTTTGTAGTGCTGGGGATTGAACCCAGGGCCTTGTGCATGCTAGACAAGCATTCTTAGCACTATCTACCCCCCTACCCACCGCAAATGTATTTTATTTAAATATTTCATCCTACAGTTTGGTTATTAAGGGATAACAAACTCGTTACCAAGCTCCTCTGACAACACAGGTGCCTGATGAAGAGTAGCTAAAGAGACCTGATACGGCTTCTTCCCAACTGACCTGGACACTTCTGTATAAAATGCTCAAAGCTGACAATGTTACTGTCACACAGCTTTTTAAAAATTCTAAACTGCTTCCCCATGTGCTACCAAGAATCTTCTGAACAACTTAGAGCCCATCTTCAATGAAATCAGAACCTGAGATCTAAGTTCTTCCCTGAGTGAGTCTCTGTCCCTACCTCCATCCATTCACTCAATAAATATTTTGCTAAAATGTACATGTGGTGTTAAAAAATGCATAGAAAATAGGAAAATGTATCATTGTCTCCTAACTTAATAGGCACCGTGTTTCATTCAACAAGCCTCTAACGAATGAACACCTCCTGTATACCAGAACTATGCCAGGAATATCAAGATGAATAAGGAGCACCACCGCACCAAGGAGGCAGGCATGTGGCTCAAAAGTAATAACAAAAACCGAATGCTACAGGTGTGAGCGAACCAGAGCGAGCCCTGCGGATAGAAGGCCTTTCTTTGGGTCCCAGTCCTAGCTCTGCCACCTCACCAGCCTCGCGATTAGGACATGCTCCTCTAACTCTGAAGGTCTTC